AACATAAATACTCTGAAAAAAGTTTTAGAATCACTGAGGGGATGGCCAGAGCTGTAGTCAGAAGTTTAAATTTCCAGAATCCCTAACCAAAAATCTCCTCTGATCTCTTTGCACATTATTTTTGTAAGAATTCTAGTAAGAGCTAAAACCTCCCTTCTACTAAAAGTGTCGCTTGTGTTTTTATTATTAGGCGTCAACTAAATCATTTTAAGGAAACGTTGAGAACTTTGGTGGGCACTTCAGCACATTATACGGAATTAAAATCTGTAAGGGGCTCTAAGGAACTCTAGTCAGAACTATAAGCTTCGACGAGATAATTTCTCTTGCTCAGTGCCAAAAACAAAAATCCCTATTCTCTTGTATTTTTTATTAGGCGTCAGCTGAGTTCCTCAGAAAAACTTTTTTAAACCTTTGAAGGGCTGTCCAGCACCCTAATCAGAATTAAAATCGCCGAGAAGCTGTCTCTAGGTCTAGTCACAACTTTCAGCTTCTACAGGATATTTTGCTTTCGAATCGACATTTCTTAGATCTTTTAGTGCTATAAAAGAATATCTTCTCTTGTGTTTTTATAATTCCGTAACATTCTTTTCTTTTTGAACTTTTAAAAGGCTGTTTAGCACTTAAATCGGAATTAAATCACCGAATGGCTACACGGAGAAAAATGTACCTTACTATTAAAAGGAAGTAATCATCTTTTATTCAGAATTCCTCTTAAAAAACGACCAAACGTAATACGGAGAAATCATCAGGAAATAATATCATGATATAGTAACAGTATATCTGTGCACAGAGCTAACTACGTCACGCAATGGAAACGTCATCAAAATAACAGTAAGTACGTGCAATTCCTTCCTTAAATTACGTCTAAAGTAACAGGAAATTCAGGTGGCTTGGTATGCCTGCTTATAGGTGTATCCTGACGATTTAACATTACAAAAATGATAAATGCAAAGTAATGATCATCAGAAACTATTCGTCGTACTGCAAAATTATCAGGATGCTTATGGTGGATGTACACGTATCCTGCTTGTTGATTATTTGATCTTATACGGATACTTTTTTGGTCGGAAATACTATATTGTACTAAAGGATTCCATGCATCCCCAGGGATGTTCGGCGACGACTGGAATGCACGACGAACGGGGTACATGTGAAAATTAATGTACATTGCTAAAGGGTTGGAATGAGCATTCCAATCATTTAGCAATTATACACAGTGACTTTACTCTGCCCTGTTTTCTGAGCATTTAAGTCCCCCATCATATTTCTGGTAATGTTTAGTAAATATTAAATTAGATTCAAGCAATATCATTATTCACAATTAATTAATAATTATACCTGTTCTTTCTTACTAGGCACTTGTCCCTTCTCATACTTAGCATTTAGTATCAAGTTTAAGCTAGGCTTAGTCATTAAGTACTTATCTGAAATTTCATGAAATTCTTATTTCTTGTGTAACCTTTAGGCTTTAGTGGACCGATAATTGATTTATATCAAAAATAACTTTAGGCATCTATGGGTGCGTCGGGTAAAAGTTGTTTTATGGTATGGTTTGAATGGTATCTCCACATACAAGTACAAAAACATATTCTTCAACTGCCTATAGATAGGCGAAAGTAAAAACGTTCAACAATTTGATTTAAATCCAGAATGATTTGGGCTAACTTAATATAATTATTATCTAATACAGACAAAAAGGTAAATGAATTAATACTAAAGAACCTTAAACTTAGAGCTAGACGCGCATAACAAAAAGTGGCAAGTTATATATGGTCATGAAAACCTAACGAGATCGCAAGTCGCAAGTTAAACAATTACAATACCTACATATAACACTAAATACGTGTAGTAAGTACTATGCGATCAAAAAAGAGTTGCTGCCGAGTGACCTTTGGAGTTTTTGTTTATATGGGAAATCATATTTAATTTGAACTTCCAAAGGCCAAAGGCGACTCGACGTCAATCCTTTTTCGACCGCCCGTTACCTGGTACCCAAAACAAAAATATTAAAAACAATACGTATTTACACACTAGAAATTGAGAATAGTCTTGGGAAGCTTCGGATGGTTGGGCGCAAGGTAATTCAAAAGACTCAGATTACGGTGTCCTTTTGTCCTACTCCGGTGATTCCAGCTGATTTCACTTTTCAGTAAGGCTGCTTGGCTCTCCAGTGTCCACGCGTTTAAGTATAGCAAGTCGAACTCGCACATGAAACAGATCACAAGAATTAGTAGGTACTTGACAAAATATATTTGAAATGAATGTTATCGGTAGTTAACTTATGAGGGTTTCACGTTACAAAGTTAGGGCCAAAGTATGTATTATTATTGAAAATTATCATTTATTATTGAAAATAGGTATGGTATATCATACATTTTCGGAAAGCTCGTAAGACAAGCAATTTTGTAAAACCATGACCATCTAGGTACAACTCTCGCCGGGAAAGATTGCCGGTCACAGCACACCTTGTGTCGATTTACAATCTTTGTTTTTATTAAGATGCGAGCGACTTCTGGAATAGAAGATCGTGCTAATGTTGAACAAAAAGTCTTTTCGTTCAACATCGACACGATACTATCCCGGAAGTCGCGTCGCTAGCACCTTACGAAAAACAGAGATTGTAGATCGGGATCAAGTCGGGTTAAAATCATACGAAATCGACACCCAGATCTCGTCTCTAGGTCATATTTAGTTTTTAAAAAAATGTTACAATCAATCACCCCCACCCCCTCTAAAATCCACCCACACGGAAAATGTCAAGTGTTCTTCGGGCCAAATCGTCTAAATGGCTCTAAGGAACAGCTGTACCAAGTGGCACCTTGGTATAAGAAAATGCAGTATCTTTTGGTATACCGCTAGTAGGTACTACAATCTTTCCTGGCGAGAGTTATAGGTATTACCTAATTCCTAAACATAACGCATGATAATACATACACACATGATCCACAACGTATACATGGAAACAACAATACTCGCTCACAACAAGGTACACAACATACTGTAATACCTCCACCTCTAAAGACGGCCCCACATTACATGGCAAACTAGACGAACGTTGGTGATGCGTCGAGTTTGCCATATAATGTGTCTTCTACGCGCCCACATTTGCCGCCAACCACCAGCCAGCCAGCCAAAGTGGGATTAAATTAAAAGCTACTTTTTACAAATAAATTTGCAAAAATGCGCTAAAAATGTAATAATTGAAGACGGAATTGATGACCTGAACACTTCTTATGATATAGTTCCGTAATAATTAGGGAACGGAAAACTATCCCCTAACTAAGGGTACATCTGAAAGTAATATTGTATGCAAACAGTGCCCAAAAACATATAATTGCAGAGGTGCAGTGGTGTGCATCGTTATATCTCCTTAATATACCCGATATAGTAGATATACCGATTTTCGACAGATAGGTAAGTACCTACTTGTTTCGTTGGAAATCGTCTATTATTGGCATAATTATAACTTTAAAATTACTCTTAAAAATTACAAGGGCCTCTTCTATTTATAGAAATGATGTGACTGAAAGTTGCAGATGCAGCTCCCGTTTATATATAAAAACTTGTTTGGGGTTAGTCTCACTTATTGCAAAGTACGATGACTAATTACCTACCCTTCGTGACATCTGGGCTATAGGTAAGAATACTTAGAACGAGATCAGGAAATTCCGAAAGGTTATTATCTGCAATAAACCTCCCAAAGATGGTACCATTTAAATTCAATGATAAATCTTAATCCGCTGCACATTGACATTTTTGATCGCATTCCGAAAGGGATTGGTTTATTCCTGCCTTCGCCTTATGTCTGCATGTTCGAACGAACTGTTCCATGCGGCTTATTTACTTTAATTAGAGAAGACCAGCGCCGGTTTACCAGTAAGGCACGTAGGCACGGGCCTAGGGGCGCCGACCATTCAGGGGCGGCAGCCGCCAGTGCCACCACCAGGTATCGTACGCCATGAGCAGTACGCACACTGAATGGAAATTCCTATAACGATGTGCTTACGACTTTTTAAATTTAATTCCTTATTAGTGTTGTATCACTTTTACGACAAAAATTAACAGTAATTACACATTCATTTTGAAATGTGTACATTTACCTACCTACTATAACAGGATATGAAAACTGAGAAGCTGTAATCACTGCAATTGTATCAAATTGATATCCGTAAAGCCCGCTTGACATGGAGCAATAAAAATTGCTGCATGCAAGTTGCAAGAAAAATTGCGAAAGGCATGCGCAGTTCAAAGCCAGCTGATCAATTGCTGCAAGAGACTTGCATGCAATTTTTATAGGACCGGTGCTATTTTTCTTGCATGAATCGCGCAATTCTAGGGATAAATCTAGTTGGTTTTGTGTCACCAACCTAGTAAAACACAGCGGCGGCAACTATGATGCTTAGAGACGCACTCATTACTTGTTTTTATTAATCTTATTTATTCTTGTAATTTTCATGTTTCTTCAAGCAGTCAAAATTTCATTTTTATTTGAGGTTAGCAACTTTGTTGACAAATTCATATTTTTCTTCTGTTGGCAGACATGTGGCAATTGAAATAGAATTGCACCATGTCAAATGCCATGCAATTCTTATTGCATGCAAGGATTTGACCTTGCAATTTCTTTCTGCAAGTTCTTGCGCGTTGTATTGCTCCATGTCAAGCGGCCTTAATCCAGAGCGAGACTACTATGAAGGTGTACGTGTGGGTGTCCCAGGCAGCAAATCTTTGCAGGCAGTTTATTTTATGCTTACCTTCCCCTTTTTGCTCTTGTGTGTGCTTCTTATTTATTTGCATTTGGCATAAATTGCATTTTCAATTTAAAAAATCTAGGTCTCATTCCCATTAGTCTAAATGCGTCGTAGTACCGTTGAGTGAAGGATTTATTATTCAATTCAATATTTCATTTTCTGAATTTCTGTTAATGTCGCCGGGCGTAGTGTACGCGTTTTAAAGGTGCTCTAGTGGTTTTATATTTTCGCGATTTTATAATTGCAAATACCATGCCTCTTTTCAAAAATTGCGTGACATGTGATTTGTGTATCAATTTCGATAAGGACGAAGTCTGCATTTGTGACAAATGCTGTCTGTTATATCACTCGCAATGTTCAGGGCTTTCCCGCTCTGATATTCAGCTGTTGTTAACCAGTTCAAAGCAGCGCCCAGCTTTTCATTGCAACAAATGCATCTCTGAAAAAGCGCAGATGTCCGACTTACTAAAAACTATTTCGGATCTACAAGCGGAATTGCACCACCTGAAGCAGGCCAAAGAAGAAAAATCTCTCCTTATTGATGATGTAGTCAACGAAATTAATGATAGGAAAAGGCGTGAAAATAATATCATTATTTATGGGCTTGAGGAATCATCTAATGATAGTCCACAGGTTAAAGAGATACTTAAGGTAGTTGCTCCCAGTATATGTACGGATGACATCGGTATCATCAGGTTGGGAAAATCCGGTCGTAACAGACCTCCACCTGTCAAGGTTGTATTGCATAAAAAGGACGATGTGCTTGTCGTGTTGAGGAATAAGAGGAATTTAAAAACCACGCATTCAAATATCGCAATTTCTACAGACAATACGAAAGTCCAGCAGGAACATTTTAGAAGAGTGCGCGCCGAACTTGAGCAAAGGAAAATGAAGGGTGAGCGTAATTTGTTCATAAAATACGTTTATGGAACACCTACCATTGCCGTTTCAAAAAACGTGAATTAAAAATAGGCCATGTTAACATAAGATCAATCAGGAAGAATTTTTTAAGTTTAAAGGATTATATAATAGACAATGATTCGGATATTATTGGTGTTTCTGAAACTTTTCTTGACGCAAGTTACGTTGATAAATATTTAAATATAAACAATTACAATTTAGTCAGATCGGATCGCTTAACTTTTGGTGGAGGGGTTGCTATTTATTTAAAGTCGTCTTATACCTTTCAAGTAATTCCATTTGACGACAATTATGAATCGATTGATCATTTATGGTTGATGGTTACAATTAATAAATTGAAAGTGGTCATTGGAGTCATTTACGTACAGCCGAGTGCAAATATTCAATTTTTTAACGATCTAACACTTATTATCGAACAGATCTATCTTAGATCACAATTGATAATCTTAATGGGGGATCTAAATGTTAATCTGTTGTGCAAACATGCTAGTGAAAGTAAAAGACTATTGTCACTGTTTTCCAATTTCGATTTAGTGCAATTAATCAATGAACCGACAAGAATTACTCCTAAAACTGCTTCATTGCTTGATGTTATTTGTGTAACTAATAGTTTTACTATAAATTCAAGTGGAACATTCGATTTACTTAACAATACAGACCATTTGCTAACTTTTTGTAACATTGGTGTTTCTTCCAAGGTAAAACAATCACACAACTTCACCTTCAGAAATTTTAAGAAGATTGATATTGACTCTTTTGTTCTTGATGCTGAACGCATTAACTGGCAACTGATTGATCAGTGCGAGGACCTCAATAAAGGTGCTAAAATGCTTAATGATTTTATTCTTGAGTTGTTCGATCTACACGCTCCTTTTATCAAAATTACGCCAAGGAAAAATTATAAGCCCTACATCACCCATAACATTATTGAAATGATTCGATTAAGAAACAAGGCACACAGGATTTTTTTAAAGAAAAGAACTGAAGCAAGTCGGCAATATTACTGCGAGATAAGAAATTATGTTAAGTCAGCGATAACTCGTGAAAAGAAGGCATTTGTGCAATACATGTTGAATTCCAACAAAAGTAATTCGAGAAAAGTGTGGTATCACTTGCAACAGTTGGGTGTACGTACAAAGAAGAGTGCTACAAACGAGATACCTGCATCTTTACAAGACCCCGCGACCATGAATGAGTACTTTTTAAATATTGCTGGTGATTCAACAATCGATTTGAATTTGATTCAGTTTTTCAATAGCACGGTGAGGTGTAAAAATGCATCTTTCACTTTTAATTCGATTACCGAGCAAGATATATATAGCGCGTTAAAAAACATTTCGTCGAAAGCCTTTGGGCCAGATAATCTCAACATAACCATGATAATTCTAATCATTCCGCACTGTTTGGATTCGGTTCTAAAGTTGTTTAATAATTGCTTACGTGATGGCATTTTTCCACAAATTTGGAAGATCGCTGATATCTTACCTCTAGCTAAAGTCGCAAATCCCACAACTTACAACGACCTACGGCCTATATCTTTACTGTCGCCATTTGCGAAAATCTTTGAAAAAATACTTGCTGCACAAATTACAAAGTATTTGGAACATTACAGCATCATACCTGCAAACCAATCTGCTTATAGAAAAAAATACGGTACCTACCAATACTGCCCTCTTGAAAGTCATGACTGACATCTCATATAGTTATGATAAGTCGCTATGTACCTACCATTTTAATTCTACTCGACCAAAGCAGAGCATTCGATTTGGTAAACCATCAGTTGCTTGTAGCCAAATTGCGGCATCTAGGATTCGACAATAGCAGTTTAACATGGTTTCAAGCTTATCTGAACGATCGTTTTCAAAGAGTTAGTCTTTCAAGTGCATCGTCAAGTTATATGAAGATTGATAGGGGTGTTCCGCAAGGAAGCGTGCTCGGTCCCTTACTTTTTTCAGTGTTTACCTACGACTCACCTACATGTCTTCAACACCTTCAATATCATCTTTATGCTGATGATCTACAGCTATACATGGAATGTAATGAATCGAATGTGGAAGATCTTCTCAACATGCAAACGTGGTGTGAAAAGAACGGCTTAAAATTAAATCCCATGAAATCTACAGCCATTTGTGTCGGTCCCGAACGAAAGTCAGACATTGTGTGTAGTTTCCAATTAACTCTTATGAACGATTCCATTACATGGTCTAATAGTGTTAAAAATTTGGGTCTTACATTAGATACTAGGTTAAGTTTTAGTCAACATGTAAATAACGTAGTCAGACTGTCGTTTCTTAAGCTCAAGTCTATTTATCACTTGAAGTTTCTGCTCAGTGAAGCCGTTAAAAACAAGATAGTTAAATCCATAATTTATCCTCATATTGACTATTGCTGTATGGTGTACTATTTTTTTCTTACAAAGAGTGATCAAGCTAAATTGCAAAAAATTCAAAATTCGTGCATAAGATTTATTTGTAATGTACCGTTTAGAGAGCATGTTACGCCCTATTACCAGAAACTGAACGAGTTGAAAATTAATTGTCGGGTCAGATATCTATACACGTTATTTTTATATAAATTGTTACAATGCAAAGTACCACTGTATTTATGTCAACTGTTAATTAGAAGGTCTGTCGTGCATAACTTAAATTTAAGGGTTAATTCCTTCACAATACCAAGGCACAATACTAAAAAATTTCAAGGCTGTTTCGCTTATATGGCACCGTCCCTGTTAAATTGTAGATTGGATAAACTTAACAAGAATTATATACAGTTCGCAAAATCGACTAAAGAACTATATCTAAGCAATAATTTTTAGTTTTGTGAGGCGATTTTTTTCTCTTTTTGGTTTTTAAAGGGTGAATTGAAAAACGGCATTGCCGAATTCATTCCTTTTTTGAGCTACTTTTTCTTTTTTGTTGTTATATTTTTGTTTTGTTTTATTTTTAAAGCTCAAATAAACTTTATTATTATTATTATTATTCAATGGTAGTACTACAAAGTGATTAGGTACATATCTGTCGTTTTATTGAGAAGTGTTGTTTGGGGCGTTATAAATTATAAATGCATTTATTAAAGGGCTGTGCCTAGGGGAGAAAATGTTCCTAAACCGGCACTGGAGAAGAGTATAGAAAATTCATCAAATGCGCTTATTTGTTTGTGCCAAGTGGAACTACCCTTTTCTGTATCTTTTTTTACTTAGTATTCAGCTCTTTAAATTATCCAATAACCAATATTACACAAATCTCCGTCGCGCTTACAGAAAAACTCCTAGTTTACTTCCCTATGGCAGACACGAGAGGTCAGCACAATTCACAATTATGAATTAAGTGTTTTGTTTTGAGTATTCAGATGTTTCTATAATTTTGCTTAAAAATTTGTTTGCATTATTTACAGTTGTTTACAATTTAGCACTTTATTTATAAACGCCACATTGAATTAAAATAATTGAATATAAACAATCTGTGATAAATTTTTGCTAAAGGCAAACGTGATGCTGTGATAATTTAACAAGTGGTTTTTATAAATAATCCAACCTTTTATCTGATATGAAACATGATAATCCTCTTTTCATGGTTTAGGATTAAATCAAGCAGGAAACCACAAATTTAAGCAAATATTTGCCTGCAATTCGAATTACGTGAACAGAAATTCACCGAACGAACACATACTTACAATGGAAACTTCGACACATACTCGTACGTTGAGTAGATCCACAACATTAAGTGATGATGACTTTGATGACAAATTGGACGTCCCTCCAGTCCTTCTTACTATGATATCTGTCGAGGGTAAACCTGTCCTGGTCGAAGACGATGAGAATGATTATAAGACAGGTAAATACACCCCCCATATGTTCTATTCCAACACCATTTCATTACAGATTTGGTTGACGCAATACCCTTTTCGACAATCTTCACCAGCAGTGGTAAGTTCAAATCCTACCAAAGGAAAATCTTTGTACCGGGGCTAGATGTAACCGTTGCAATCGAGCAGAGTGACAGAAACCTAACGTCGCACTTCTTAAATCCCAACCTGTAAGACTGTTATCTAGCTATGCAAACTGTAGCAAAACGAATCATTTTAGATACACCATCACGTTGACACATGGCGATTTTACTTGGCAGGTGAAAAGGCGATATAAACACATTCAACACCTCCATCAGCAGCTTGTGTTGTTTAGGACGTCTTTAAATATACCGTTCCCTACAAAAACGCATCGCCAGCGTAGGGATAACTTTAAGAACAATGCTGTTGTTAGTAAATCGGGTAAACGTAAAGGAGCTTTACCTAGGTAGGTTTTGGTGGGATTGTCCATTTTTGTATTTTTGAAACGTAGTTAGTCTTCGGAATTTTTGTCTGTACCAATATGGCAGTCAATTTGGTTCTTGTATGTGTATGTTAATTTTAACGGTAATGTGGTACCTTGTGTGAGGGCCGTGAGTACTTTATTTATGATTATTGTGACCTAGTGTGGGCGGGAAAATATCTTGAGAAGACACTGTTTGGGGAAAGGGAAGAAGATCTTGTTGAGAGATTTAGATAGAGCGAGTAAAAAGTGTGAAATACTTGTTTTGTACTAAGATCAATTATTTTCAATTTTTGATTGGGCTCCCTTTTTTGTTGTAGAAACAAGATTAATGAAGTGTCATTTAAGCGCACAATGACTCCATTGCAAATGGTGAGCATTTCGAAAGATCACACTGGTTAATGATTGTCTTTTTCACTTCATTTTTTAGTTTGGTACTACACTATAAACATTTTTACTATTTTGACCGGAATATTATATTTGTTTTAGTTTTGACCCACGTTATTTTGTTGTTGCGTAGCATGCCATTTGAAGATAACGCTTTGCTTTGAATACTACTGAAAATAATTGAATTAATTAAGTGTTGTTTTAGATTTCCAAACAAACCGGAAGTTTTAATATCTCATGATCGCCTACAGAATAGAATAAAACAATTGGAAGATTATTTGAACAATTTACTTGCAATCAACATCTACAGAAATCATCCAGAAACGGTAAGTTGACTTTTTAGACCATTTGGCACCAACTCGGTGGGCAGGGCGTTGTCTGGTTAAGTGAACAAGGGTCGCAAGGTTTCAACTCATCTATGTCACAATATCGTTCTCCTCTTCGAACGTCATCTATTATCAAGGATACTGCATGCTCCACTTGACACGTTTCGTATTGTGTGATGCCCTTCGGTATGCCGTAGTTGTTCTCCACGCCGCCTTTTCCTAGCAGTACTGGTGTCGCGAAATACTTTGTGTGCGGATGCACTTTTGAGTGTACGAACGCTTGCTCTATGATATTCGCTTCACCCCTTAATCCCTTTACTACAGACACAACGAATTTGGCAAGGGCATAGCCGCATGACAGATATGCGCATTCCTTAGCATGCCTGAGATTGATAACATTGCGATCTGCCGATTGTAATTTGTCAGTTACACAGATTAATTGCTCCTTTGTAAATTTTAAATGAGGTTTCACTTGCGACAGTATAGGTACAACGGCTAAACCTGACGGTCCTCCTATTACCGGTACCGATATACTTTCTGGAGTTAAATGAAATGTCTCTGCAACTAACGCATTTGCTCGAATCACATTCAGTGAACTGGCTCCTAGCACCTTCTTCGAGTTGAGCACTTTTTTCGTCTTCAAAATTTCACTGGCTAACGGAACAAGGCTACTCACTGGATTTGTTCCCATAATTAGTATCGCATTAGGGCATACCCTTGAGAAAGCTTCTGTGATAGTTTTCACTAGGCTAGCGTTGGAATCAAACATTGCCAAAGATAGCGGATCCGACACCTTACTGGCGCTGGCGACAATTACGACCACATCCGCCTTTTCTAACGCCGCACTGAGCTGTAGCTCCCCAGCTTCTGACACGACCTTGCATTTCAAATCTATATGATTCAGTTCAGCCGCAACTCCTCTCACTTGTTGCACGTCGAACAATACCAAACGATCGATAAGTCTCGATTGCTTCAGCATAAGCGATAAGCTTTGACCAACCTTTCCGCTAGCACCACAAACGGTCACTTGTACGGATTGTTGTCGTAAACTTACTTTTGGAATGTGAAAGTGACTTTGGAATAATAGACTAGTAATTGCCTTGAGACTCATAATTTTACCAATTCGATCAAATTTGATTTAATTTTGATAGTTGTTAATTTTCTAAATGTCAAAAATTGACAATGAATTATTTTGAAATCGTGCCCCATCTGTTGATATATGGCTGGAGTGCGTATCAAACTGTGTGACTAGATTCGAGATGTGCCAGAAGATCTCTACAGGACATCTACAGACACTTTCCAAAGGAAATTCGCCTAGTTTTAGAAAAGTCTAGAAAAGGTCAAGCGCTTCTTCAGAAAGCGTTAAGCGCCAGTGGACCGTAGAAAGTCATTTGAACGCCTTTTATTGGTGCTTCTACAGGTGGCCCAGACCAATTGAAAGCAGTCTATTATTTCTAGAGTCCCTTCAGAACCACTAGCGGCTTGGTTGTAGGGAGTGATATAAATGCGCTAGAAGGCGTTTGATTGCTCTGGAAAGCATACTCGTATTATCCAAGATCCAAGTCAGTAAAATATTTTTGACAATTTGCTCAAAATGTTAATACAAAATTCTTGTAAAACAATCTCCCCTCGAGTCGTTATAAAATTTGTCAGAGCTTATGCCCGGTCTAATTTAATGAAGGTAGCAATAATTGGCGCAAACAATGAAGTTGGTCGGCCTCTTAGTTTATTGCTGAAGCAGTCGCCGCTTGTAGATGAAATAGCGTTGCATGACAGTAATAACACGTGCGGATTTGCAACTGAGTTATCCCACATTGATACCAATTGCAAGGTAGCGTCTCACGTGGGTAATGAAACGATAGCTTCTGCAGTGAAAGACGCGAAAATAATCGCCATTCTAGCAACATCAGGAAGACACTCTTTTCTGCCACCTGGAAAAATGCTGGAGAGTAATGGTTTGGTCTTGCGAGATCTTATGTACCGCATTGCAGATCATTCTAGCAAAGCTCTTTTGGCCATCGCCGTACCTCCAGTGAACAGTATGATTCCGTTAGCCTGCGAGATTTTAAAACAGAAAGGTGTCCTGCGACCTAACGCCGTCTTTGGTATTACCACATTGGATGGAGTTCGCGCGAATGCTTTTGCAGCAGAAGTGCTTGGCGTTGAGCCTGAGTGTGTTTTCGTACCGGTAATTGGGGGTAACTCAGAGAAGACTATCGTACCCGTTTACTCGCAAGCGACCCCCTACTCTGATTTTACAAAAGACGAGTTGGAGACATTAACGACCAACGTGCAAAATGCCCACCAGGACATTGTCAGAATCAAGAAGAGAGAGGCGTCGACTTTAGCTTGGGCGTTTTCCATCTCTCGTTTCATAATATCGCTAGTGAAGGCATTGTCGTCCCGTTCCAACATTGTCGAATGTGCATACGTTATGTCCGATCAACATCGCGACGTTAAGTACTTGGCCACGCCTCTGTTGCTCGGATCGAGAGGTATTGAAAGAAACCTGGGAA